GGCATCGGTTATCCCCGTAATGCACACTTTCCTAACGCCGTCTGTCCAACCCCATTTCTCTTTTGTTTTTTTTTTTGGACATAAATAATGATATGCTTTAGAAGCGGATGTCAAATTTGGTACCGAAAGTGGTTGTTATTGTGCCTGGACGCACTGTAATTAATGCTTAGAAGTAGGTACAGGAGACCGAAATATGCAAGGAAGCTCAAATAAGTTGTGTTGTTTACACAATTGCCACCGGTCCAAAAGACCCATCTTTAAAAAATTGCGTTTTACCATTTACCTACGCAGAAAACTTTACCTACCTATAAATGGCATAATTTCAATTTGATACTATAGTCCCTATTCAGATTGTATTATATTTAAAAAGGAAAAATCACACTTTATAAAATAGCAAATCAGAAGACTTAATTCCGGCGAATTGTTTCAATATAATAAACATGAATTTACTTCATAAGTTTACCTCGTCTTAAATGTTTTCCATCTTTTCGAACACAAGAGTTCAAATTGCCGGGACGACCGAAGCCAGGATTGCCCATCGCCGGGTTTAGAGCGCCCGCGCCAGGATAACCGAAGCCGGGAAGTAAATGGTCGCCGGGATGACCGTGGCCGTGACTACTCCGAGGGCGAATCCGAATTTTCGGGGTCTTACAACTAGTGCAGCGGAGAGAGCCGCGAAATCGTTCAAAAATTTTTTCGGAGTAGAAAGAATTGGGACTCACACCATTTTGTTCAGAAATGTTTGAACCTTCAGAATCTCGCTTTACGACATTTTCCCGTGGTCCTGACAAAAGTTATAGGCCGCTAAAGTTGAAATTTACTCATTTTCGCGCGCGCGACTAGACCACCGAAAGTATTTATTTTCTCAGCAACTAAGCGATATACATCAATAATTCCTTTTGTAAAATGAAAGTACATTTATAGCAGAATCTAAAGCATTCAATTTACCTACCTTGTTATGCACAGTTTTTAGAAAAATGACCGTCAACTTCCAAAATTCGTGTAGCAGATGAAAAGTGCGCACTTTGAACTCTCATAACTTTTTATTTCACGATATCGATTTCCAATATTTATAGCTCATTCGATGCTCCAAAGCATTGTGATTATTTTATTTTCTATAACATTACCGTGAATTTGTCATAATAAAAAAGTTACGGTCATTTAAGTAAAAACCTACCGACCTCGCCGAGTCGGGAGTCGCGAGTGAGACGGAGAGGGAAGGATAGTCACAGCGTTCGCGCAACAAGGAGCGATGCGTAAGAGATTTTACTTTACTAAGAAATTTCTCTCCGAATACCAAAACTAGCCATATAATTTAGGCCGTTTAGTTTACAAATGCATTCCGCCGAGTTGCATTGTAAAATCTCAAACAATTCATTAACTCCATGTATCTCAGTTCTTTGGTGAAATACATAGGTACAAATAGGTACCTTTCCCTGTGCTGTGCTGTATATTGCAAGATCAGCAGTAACAACGGTATGATTTTGTCCCAAAGATTCAGGCTTGTTTTTTGATTTCACTAGACGATTCATTCATTCATTTTTATTTAATTCCTTCGACAAATAACATTTGTATGGAACAAGTCAATATAACATTAATTAAACAAACGAACAGTTAAACAAACAAACAATTAAATATTGGAAGATATAAAAAATTCTTGTATGTTGTAGAAACACCCATTGACTAGATAATCGTACAATTTCTTTTTAAATTTTTTCCATGTAAGGCAAGTTCGATGGTTAGGATGGTATTGTAGCTCGCTGGTGGAGAATTCAAAAACGGCATAGGTATATTATATTGAATGGTAGATACCAGAACTTACTTAGGAGGATTATCAGCAGGTACTTAGGCTGTTAAAGTCAGTTATCTGGTCGTTATCTAGTGATAGGTAAACGAGGAATTTGGATTTCTTCTGTCGATGTATCTCGCTTTTGAAAAAAGACTGTGCGTTGAATTTTTTTCGTCTGTTTCCACAGAATACGGCCTACTTATTCTTATTCTGTGATAAAATTATCATTTTTTAATAGACAAATTTTTGTGAAATGTAGGTAGACACCCTTAGCAGAACATGTAATATTGACGTTTACTGTACTTGTTATGCCACTGTCGGAGAACATTTTCTGACCCGAAAGACCAATTTGCAAATGAGTGTAACTTTTGTTTGAATAATGACCTTAAAAAAAACTGTTCAATAATTTTGTTCCGTAAGTATGTACCTAGACAACAAACTTCGTGGAATTTTGTCAATTTTCGTTGTCCGGCCAAGAATTGCAGTGGAATTATTTTTTTCGAATGTTCAAAAACTAATTTCAGATTCAAAAACCACCAGATACCAAATTTCGTCGAAATCAACATTTTTTCGCACCACTATTGAGGGGTGTGTCCTTTTGCGGTAGGAATTTTGAAAAATTATTTGCAAAACCGGAAAGGGCATACAGCAAAACCTATTCAAAGACTTACCACCAGTCTCTGTAACTTTACCACTTTTTTGAGGGTGGCTCCTAAACAAATACATGGATTTTTTTTTTTTTGGTGTTTGGATCCATCGTTCCTCGAAATGGGGGTTGAAATATATTGTGTGATCAAAACTCTCTAAACCTTCCCCATATAGTTTTTATTCGTTGAAGTTTTTAAAAATAAAAGCGACTATAGCTTCGGCGTACTGCCATCATCAGGCGATGTGAAATTTAACAGGAAAACGGTAAGTTACAAACGTTGAAGACGAATAAGACGAACATGTTGTTTTTTAATTATTAACTGGCCGAAGCCAAGTGAAAAAACCTGAAGGGTGGTTAAACCGGAAAGGTTGTCCTAAGTTTCAAAACGAATTATTATCAAGCCTTGTTAGTTAAGACAACCAACCGGAGGGTTGAATTATTACATTAAAAGTTGAAAGTTGAATTTAACACATTTCAAAAGAACCGGGGGGAAAAAATAAACTCATAAAAGTTTTGAAACTATTGAGATGACTACATATTTAAATTATTTAAGTTAAGTTTCAATTCGAGATCATGCAGACGGCATGTCTAGAAATGATTGACCACCAGGTTTACCTATCACTAGATAACGACCAGATAACTGACTTTAACAGCCTAAGTACCTGCTGATAATCCTCCTAAGTAAGTTCCGGTATCTACCATTCAATATAATATACCTATGCCGTTTTTCAATTCTCCACCAGCGAGCTACAATACCATCCTAAGCCTAACCATCGTCTAGTGAAATCAAAAAACAAGCCTGAATCTTTGGGACAAAATCATACCGTTGTTACTGCTGATCTTGCAATATACAGCACAGCACAAGAGATACCTGATGTGGAGTAACCCCCAAAATTTACAGGGAAAGGTACCTATTTGTACCTATATATTTCACCAAAGAACTGAGATACATGGAGTTAATGAATTGTTTGAGATTTTACAATGCAACTCGGCGGAATGCATTTGTAAACTAAACGGCCTAAATAGCTAGTTTTGGTATTCGGAGAGAAATTTCTTAGTAAAGTAAAATCTCTTACGCATCGCTCCTTGTTTAGCGAACGCTGCTGACTATCCTTCCCTCTCCGTCTCACTCGCGATTACCGACTCGGCGAGGTCGGTAGGTTTTTACTTAAATGACCGTAACTTTTTTATTATGAAAAATTCACGGTAATGTTATAGAAAATAAAATAATCACAATGCTTTGGAGCATCGAATGAGCTATAAATATTGGAAATCGATATCGTGAAATAAAAAGTTATGAGAGTTCAAAGTGCGCACTTTTCATCTGCTACACGAATTTTGGAAGTTGACGGTCATTTTTCTAAAAACTGTGCATAACAAGGTAGGTAAATTGAATGCTTTAGATTCTGCTATAAATGTACTTTCATTTTACAAAAGGAATTATTGATGTATATCGCTTAGTTGCTGAGAAAATAAATACTTTCGGTGGTCTAGTCGCGCGCGCGAAAATGAGTAAATTTCAACTTTAGCGGCCTATAACTTTTGTCAGGACCACGGGAAAATGTCGTAAAGCGAGATTCTGAAGGTTCAAACATTTCTGAACAAAATGGTGTGGGTCCCAATTCTTTCTACTCCGAAAAAAAAACTACCTCAAATAAGCGAGTTAGCGCCGGCTCTCCGCTGCACTAAACCGTGACAGACTCCAAACTCGACGAGTAGTCCGTAGTACTGCAGAGTGCAGAGCTGTTCCGAGTAATTCCCATGCTTCCAAATTTAATAAATATACCTTCCCCATGAAGTTTATTGCTGTAGAAAATTGTAAATGCGACTAGTTTCGCCGACATTTATTAAATTTGGAAGAAGTTTGAGACCTCATTTTGAGTTTACAAGATGGATCCCAATTTAAATTAATTCCCATTCAATATACGCTTAGCCCGCTCAGCTGTAAATATACTTCAGACATGTTGGTATCCCCTAATAATATTATTATCCCCTAAATACATCAATATCAACCCCGAATCCTCCCTAACAATTTACCGCGGAAGTAAAAGAATTAAATGAAAGCAGTTTTCAGGCCGGTTCGACTTAAAACTGTAGGCGTGAAGGATCAATCGTACAAAGAACAAACAACCTCAAGATTACCAAGATCATTAGGCTACCGGCCGGTTTGGTAACTAATAGAATTGCGTAAGCGTATTTTAAACAACGCTCACAGCAATTATTTATTATAACACCTGAATGGGAATGCTATAAACTCGGTTGAAATCGAGACAAATTGGTAATAAGAGCGTCAAGATTTAGAAAAACGATCTGTCACAGCTTACAACAATAGATAGCCGATAGGTCCGACGCACAAAAGCGATTATAGTAAATTTTAATAAAAGTCAAAAACCCTTTAGGTAGAAAGACGAGTTTCAAATTTTATCTTCCGCCTCCCTTAGAACTCCTCGAACCCTACGTGCGTTCAAATCACACACTACAGCCTAGGGCTTTTAAACAATCTCGGATAGCAAGTGTTAGCATCTGTGGGCATCTGGAGCTCCTACACTTGTATTATTGCGTTTCCTCCACAGTGTGAACCGACCGGCTGTCGGAGGTGCGTGATCTCGTCGTACAATTCACAATTTCGAGAGGAAAAAAAACGTGCCGGAAAAAATTCAAATTACACGTGCGCGTTCCCACACGTTTCGAATTACGTAATGTGTTTTATAGGGCCGAAAATAGAAATGGATTAATAAGTTTGAATTAAACAATTTGGGGTATTTGTACTTTAGACAATTTAAATCATGTTCCTAAAGATGTGTATTATAGTAAGGACGTTAATTTTTTTTACCATTTCGTACGTCGGTCTCAGTTTCGGACAGGATTACGATCAGACTCCCGCCTTAGGAGTAAAGGGCACTCGATGTTACGATGATTTTAATCGACCGCAGGTACGTTGCCTTCTATAACTGTATAGAAATAGATCATGATTGATTAATCTATAAATATACGAATAAACATTCAATGCTCATAACAAGTTATCAGCAATTGGACTAAGATATTAAAATTTTAATGCACAAAATATGACTGCTGTTAGTAGGTTACTGCACCCTCTGCAACATAAATCAGTCGTTTTAATTAGTGCACGATTTATTATTTCGTAGAGGTTAAATGGGGTTTTAATTCATTTCCTTAAATTTATAAATAGGGAAAGTGTACCAATTACTTCGTGCCTATTTTGAATTTTCTTTGCTTATCTCTATCCTAAAAAAATGAGTAAGTACAATCTACACTGAGTCAGCATAACCTTCCGACAATTACTTTAAGTGTGCAAAAAAATAAGCTTGGCTTGACCTATCAAATTGCTTCTATGTACAGCGCGCTAGTTGACCTACCTACATGGAAATATTAAAAGATTGTAGCACCATGGTAAATAAAGGGTGGGTCTCGCTCGGGGTGGGTGGTCGTCTACAAAAAATTCATATTTCCAAATATTTTGTGAAAACGTTACCTCTCGGGTTACCTACTCCTCGAAAATGATCCAATACCACAAACGTACAGCATTAGTAGTCCATAGTCAAATTACGGTTTGGGCTGGATGTTGTCAATTCAGTCAACGAAATCAAGTGTATCCTATGTAAAAAAATCCACTGAATCCGAAAATCATAGTCCCCCTGGCCGAAAACGCCCGGAACATATAATTGTTATTCACAAAAAACGAAGAAAAAATGAGAAAATGTCGTGTTTTTTCGCAATTGACTTCGAATATCTCGTTAACTATTGCTCTGAGGGAAAGAATGAATAGAAATGAACTTGTTTAGAATACACTTTTCTATAAGTCCAGAACGCTCATTTTCAATTGTTATTGTTTTTTATGGCAAAATGTGAAAAATTAATCTCTAAAATTAACAGTTTGTTATTAGTTATTAACTTATTACCAAGTAAAATTCATCCGATATTCTTGAAAATCCGTATTTAGTAACTTCTTTTGATAACAAAACAATATGACAAACCCGATCACCTTAATGGCCGTTTGCACCGACAAATTTAAGCGGAGCTTAACTTAGGACGGCGCATTTGGTTCGTTCGGGGCATTTTGTTGCAAGTGAATACGCACCTTTAGGTTTCATAGTAATTGATTAATGAAATAAACAAGTAAAAAAAGGGATGCTTTGTCTTTCAAACTGGGGGACTACAAGAGCGTTCCCAATTTTTTTATACCCAAAACAATCTTTTCCAATAATTCAAATGCGAAAAAACACGACATTTTCTCATTTCTATGATTTTCCGATTCAGCGGATTTTTTTACATAAGGTAACGAGTAAGGTACACTTGGTTTCGTTGAGTGAAATTGCAACACCCAGTTTATACTATTTTTAAAGCTAATTTGACTGGACTATAGAGGGAAATTAGCTGTACAATGGGTTAAATTCTGTGGAATGATGAGCGAGATTTTAATAATGAATTGAGTTCGGAATTGAGCATTGAGGAAGAATTCTAGGGAAATGAAGAAAATAGAAGGATACGTATTTACGAAATTTAAGTCAGTGTGAGAAGCTTTGGGGAGATAAAGTCATCATTTTTAAACAGTGAAACTCGCAGTGAAACAAATTCCTGATGTCGATCACATAGGAAATTACGAGGAATAATTGGGGCAGATGTACGAAAGATAAGCAAATGGGGGAAATTAAAACAAAATGTTTAGGCAATTAAGGAAAGAGCACTGAATACTGATGATTCAAAAACTACCCTAGTAAAATTTTTGAGTGATTTTTTTAAATTGATTTGTGATTTTATATAGATTTCTTTGATTTGTCGAAAGTCGCTTGAGATTTTCAACTGATTTCTTTGATTTTCCCAACTCTTTGAGCTTTATCGTAATAGCTGTCCTCTTCACCTCTATTAACTTGGCCCCTCCACCAACCGTAAAAAAAATCTATCTAATTCTAAAAATTAGTGCTAATTATGTGCTAATTTGTTACCGTATTCAAAATTTTGTTGCTCAACTAAAACGGCCGTTTTTAAAAAATTAGTGGGTGGGGCCAGCTTAATATAAACTGGACCTACCCAAAAAAAAAATTGCGTGCAAAAAATCGGGCGAATGTCTCGCAGAAATTTGTTGCTAATTTGGTGCTAATTTGTTGCTGTAAAGTAACAATAACTATGACATGCAATTCGCAAAGAAAAGTGGTTTATTGTTGTACCGAAGGTTATTACATTATACATTAAGGGCTCGATTAAGGGTTACTTTAAAGGGCCAACGCCATTAAATGATTTGAGTTACAAAAGGATTCGTTAGAAGATCAATAACTATTATATTAAAGATTTTAAGAAAATTAAATCAAAAGTAATGTTTGCTCTCTGACAGCGCTACAACAATATTCGCCATGCGCACGTCAACCGACTGGAACGCACAATTCAAATTGAATCACCTAAATATTTTGTTTCTAAAGTAGTTATTACCTACAATTGTTCATTCCATTGTATTTAACAATAATTAATGCAAAATCGAATTTGTTGCTAACTATAAACAATAAAAAATAGGTGAGAATGACACCACACGTAGACCGAGAGTATTTTCTCTTTTAATGTGCACAAATAAAATAAAAATGGTAAATAAATGTAGGATGATACATTAATGTAATCACGAAAAAGAATGCAACAAAATTGATGTTAACATACAATACAAGGTGTTGCAATTAAATAATATCGCATTTGGGTCAAATCTCAGAAACTGTTGTCAACATTTTTTTACTACGTCACTGGATTCTACGTAAAAATACCTAAGATAGGCAGTTTTTACTTTTTTTCTATCTGACATGGGTAGTCAGATATGACAACATCACAAAAAGTCCAATTTTTCATATTCACCCTATATCTCAGACGAGATCTCAGACCTCAGAAACAAACGTAGTTGGATTGATTGTTTGTGGTATTGTTTCACAAAAAAGTGGCACAGGGTCGCGAAAACCACAAGTCTCTTATCTTTAAAAGCAGCTCAAATACACTGCAGTCTTCAACATAGGACACACGGTACATTTTCTTGAGTGCGTACTAATGATTTTATCGAGGGGTGACCCACTGGTGAAGTATGGTGTACAAGTGTGATGAAGTCCGTGAAGTTCATATGAAGTTTTGGTGAAGTCCATGAAATATTGGTGAAGTTCGTGAAGTATTGTTGAAGTGCGTGAAGTACTGATGAAGTCCGTGAAGTATTGGTGAAGTCAGTGAAGTTTAAGCGAACTATTGGAAAAATGCATGAGGTTGTGGCGAAGTTTATAATCAAATCCTCACGGTCGTAACCACTGTAAAATTAAATAAATTTTTGCGAAATAAAACGGAAAGCGCTTAAAGGTAAGTTTTTTATCCGCAAAAGTATGGCAGTTATTTATGAATGACTAACTATGACCATTTCTACAAAACAAAAGGACAGTTACACAGGCGACAGACGCCCTGATGAGACAGCGACTCGTAGACGTACTGATAGTCCTTGCGTCGTATTTATGTGTAGGTACAAAGATCGTAAATTGTTTCCTTTTAAAAATTTAATAAATCCTTTCCTTTATTACCATCAGGTTCAGGTAGCTAAATAACACTTCGATAACACTTTTATTAGGTATATTAAAATAAAATCGACAGACGGAAAATTTGTCACGTGGATAGCGGCTTTTGTTTTCCTTAAAATTTCAGCACCCTCCACAACTTAGTACATCAGCCCCTTCCAAATCAAGTTTCTGGCCACGCCATTGAGTTATTTACGACTATAACGTCAATCCCGAGGTCAATACTATCCCACAAACAACACCATTAGCATAATTCTTGAAAATAATCCCCTAAAAATGCAACCTGTTGTAAAAGGATTAAGAGTTGCTTATTGGGTTCAGCCTGGTAATATGTTACAATACCTTTTACAAGACCTAAGCAATATTTTCCCGCTTATTTTGTTTGTTTGTTGAAATGAAATTTTTAAAAGAAGAATTGGACACCTTTATATGGTATAAAGAGCCAGATATCCAATCTGTTAATCAAAGATATATTTTAACAGGACCCATTACACTCGCCATTACATTAATAGGAAGTGAACCATTTAGTATAACTGCATAGGTCTAACAGAAATTTGATAAGATAAAATCACAACTCCTGTACAGATAAAGATAAAGGGTCATTTTTTAAACCGAAATAGCTTAGTAAATGGTTGGGTTAGAAGGTAGTAGCATGTTATCGATATTTACTTTCTTAATAGATGATTAATGGGAGGACATTCAAAATCCTCCGACACTCCCGATTGATTTTGCCTTTGAAAGTACTTTCCTCCGATAAACCGTTTTCGAGATATTCGCTCAATGGATATATTTCTTTAAGATGTCCCAATCGCCCTTTGTGAGTACCCTCTTCTATGAAAGATAAAATACGTCTCCGCCTCCCCGCCATGAACTGAACTTGAAAAAGAGTCGCGCGGTAACGTTCTAGTTTGTGCAAACCAATCGATTTCGATGAGACCATGAAGGGTGGAACGTGTGTTTACCCCCGCCCCCCCCCTCATTTTCAAAATTTTTACTGCACCACTAAAGCCATGCGTATGCAAAATCTGAGACGATTTGATTGCCGTATGTAGTAAGTAAGTAATGCACGTTTTACTTTTACTTTCAAAAACAGCATCTCAGGAAATAATTGATGGAGACCAACTCCCTTAAGACAGCGAAATTTGATGGCCGTGTGGCACACCTTCAAGGTATAGCCTACATATTGCAAAAAATTCCAGGACTCTAGGACCATTCCCCTAAAAGTAGTTCAAAACCGCAGAAGTGGGCCCGACGGACGGGCAAAACAAAAGCACATTTTTTTTTAATTTCTTAAAAAAAATTGATTCATTTCAATTTCGTCTATGTACTTACCTCTATGTATAAACAAAGTATGTTTTTATTTTACTTTATATTACCGTTTCGTTTTT